CAGTGTGCATTTCTTCAATCGGAACTCCTTTCGTTTCGGGCAACAATTTGTAGATGAAAATGCTCATTGCCACTACACAGACAGAGAAGAAGAAGAACAAGCCAAACTTCATGTGGCAGAGCATGGCTGTGAAGACTTGGGCTATGGCAAAGGTGAAAATCATGTTGACGGAGACATTGATAGACTGAGCAGCAGACCTTACTTCAAGTGGGAAAATTTCACTGGGCACCAACCATCCTAGAGGGCCCCAAGACCAAGCAAATCCAGCCACGTAAACACAGATTAAGACCACCAAGGGAACTGCAAACCCTAGCGTCAACTTTCCAGGGTTGCCGCTGACCCCAAATTTAACAGCCATAGCAATTCCAACACCCACCTAAAATGCCAACAAAAGAAGAAAAAAAAAACATTAAATTCAGGTTTTTTAATTTTTTTAATTTTAAATTTGTGGAATCTAAGGAAGTAAAACATATACATAGAAGAAAACAAAACAAAACAGGGAAAGAAAAAAGGAACTTGAATTATACCTGCATGAGGAGCATTTGGCAACCACCCTGTAAGAAAAGTTTCCTCCTTCCAACCTTATCAACAGTGAGAATTGAGACAAACGTAGCTAAAGCATTAACGACATTGGTGATGACAGCTGACATCAGAGAAGCACTGCTTCCAAACCCCATTGTTTTGAACAAGACAGGAGCATAAAACGTGATCACGTTCATGCCGGTGAGTTGCTGGAAGGCGGGGATGCCGATTGCAAACACAAGCTGGGGTCTATATTTCCTGCTCAACAAGCTAACCCATGGGTGTTTTACCAACTTGGATGCTTCACTGGCCGCAACTAGATCATTGAACTCCTCATCAACATTAGGAACTCCTCTGAGCTTAAGAAGCTGAGCTTTGGCTTCCTCATGCTTGCCACGCTCGACCAAGGAGTTTGGTGTATCAGGTAAAAACAATGCTCCAACTATAATTATAATGGCAGGGACTGCAGCACCTCCCAAACTCAAACGCCATCCCCCACCGCCTTTGATCTCGGCAAAGAAATAGTTAAGCACACCAGCAGCAAGGATTCCAATTGTGATGGACAATTGGAACATCATGTTGAGAGCACCACGGTATTTAGATGGGGCTGTTTCGGAGACATAGATCGGCACAGACTGCGTAAAAAGAACATAAAAAAAACGAATTAGGGTTTGTAAAAAATACACGAGATAACAAACTGGGATGCGAATAACCTAAAATTCATAAAGTATAATCTATGTATCAAAAAAGAAAATGATAATCATGGGTACCTGATTGGCACATCCAATACCAAAACCAAGAAGTAGACGACCAACATAAAGCATCCAAACAGCATTAGCAAAGGCATTGACCAAGGCACCAGCCAAGAAAAGAACTCCACCCAAGATCATTGTGAGCCTGCGACCACACACTCTGGTTATAGTTGATGCAAAAACGCATGCAACCAGAGCAGCCAAATATAGCGAAGATGTGAAAAGTGTAAGTGTCTGGCTATCGAATTTGCAGTACTGATCGTCGGAAGGCTTGATCGAAGACTCTTTCTGGTAAACCGCTGGAAAGAACTTCTTCAAGAAAGAGTCCATGGATGTAACGCCGCCTGCATAATCACCAAATCAAATTCGATGTCATGTATATTCTTATAAGTACATGGTAATTCTAGAAATTAAAGGATGCATATATACAATAAATAAGACTGGGTTGTGAAAAAACAAAGTGTTACAGACCTGACACTCCAAGGTCGTACCCAAAAATCAGACCACCGGTAGCCGCAACAATACATGTTATAAGAACCCTAGCTGTGAGTTTACCAGGGTATTGTTTTACACCACTCGATGGAGCTATACCGCCCCCAGCCATTGTTACCTTCTTCTAACTCTTTCTCTCTCTCTTTCAATCAAAGATCAATCTAAAGAAAGCTAAGAAAACAACTTTGAAGGACCGATGGAATTAAGCGTACAAAATTAGGTGGGTTTGATGAAGTATTTATAGTTCAAAACGTCCTGTGTCTAGCAGGATTACTAGTACAAGTTAGATAATGAGAGTCTATCAACTTAATCTTATCCGCATTTGTAAACCTAATTAAAATCCTAACTGATTTTGATATCCGGATCAAGTTTAACTTAAATTGGATTTTGGGTTTTTATTTAAACATAATAAGGTTGTATCTGTTGTGGACCCTTCCCAATCCAAACAGTAAAATCATGAAAGGAGTTGGACACTCATCCTCAATTTCCTTAACTTAGGTCTTTTTATTTTATTTTTTTGAAGACAACAACATAACATTTTCAACTCAAAGAAGAACAATCCTAAAAATCGGGCTGTTGTTAATTAACTAGGGTTAATTATCAAACTGTCATTAAATTATTTAATTATACACGGATTCAGTTATTATTTTAGTCATTTTATTATTAAATTATTTTTTTTCCCTCGTATATGGTTCATCTTTTAGGGGTAATAAAGACTTTTCACCGGGCAATGCTGAAAGCCGTGGTCAAAGTGGAAACCCAGTTCAAATTAGCTGAGGATCACCTTAAGCAATCCGTGGAAATTCAAGCAGAGAACTAAATTTCCCCATCTGTAATATTTATAAAAAATGGTCATGAAAAATAATCGATGGAAATTATTTTGACTAGGCGTTGATGGTTGTGAAGGGTATGTGCCATTTTGACGCGTCAAGAAATTTCTAAATCTTTTAATAATGGCGAGCTGAAACCATTTCTTGCCATTCGGCAGGCTCAGTGATTCAGTGTCGACCCATGGCCAGACTTGGAACTATTCTCCAAACAAGACTCTTGTTTTTTTTGGTCAAGTGAAACCACCCCTATAAATTGGAAGCATTTCAACTTATTTTTACAAGCAAATCCATTGATCTCATCATCTGTAAAAGAAACAATCCACAAAAACTAAAAACCAGCTCAACCCAATTCAATACTGCTAGTTATAATGGCCTCTTCCCAGCTCTTCATTATCCTTCCCATCCTAGCAATTTTTGTTCCTTCAGTTTTGGCAACAGATTATGTCGTTGGCGACGATAAAGGTTGGACGATTAATTTCGATTACCAAGCTTGGGCTCAGGGAAAGTTGTTCTATGTTGGTGACAATCTTGGTAATTTAAATTCTCATTTCCAAACCTAACATTTTCTTTTCTGTTTTTTTTTTAATTATTGGTATGACAACGAAACTCAAGATTTTCTTTTGTGATTTGGTGTTGATGCAGTTTTTAACTATCCAAAAGGAGCCCACACTGTGCTCAAAGTGAACGGCACTGGATTTCAACAATGTGCAGCTCCATTAGACAGTGTGCCATTAACAAGTGGAAAAGATGTGATCAACCTTGCAACCCCAGGGAGAAAATGGTACATTTGTGGTGTTGGCCAGCACTGTGAAGTGGGGAACCAAAAGCTTGTTATAACTGTTCTGCCATCTTCATCTTCATCTGCTCCAAGTCCAAGCCCTAGCTCATGGTCTAGTAAGGCATCTGCAGCAACTATAACTGTTGGAACAAGATTTGCTTTGATGATGCTTCTTACTATTGGCTTTCTTGGGATGCTCATGGCTTGATGTTTTGGATCAGTATTTAATTAATTATTTACTTATTTTCCTGTTATGAGGTGTGAGTTTTAAGTTTTAACAGGTTATGTGATACTATTGTAAACATTATTATATATATGGTATGGATTATTCTTCCATAATATTTATACGTACTGTTAGCACATATCAAAATTCACTCTCTAATCAAATCAGATAACTAGTCCTGTGATAATAGAAAGAATCACATAATTGTATACATGACACCTAAAAATCTTCTTGACTCACTATGCCAAATTTCACTTTACGCAACACCACATAGGCATCGGTGAAACGAAATACCAATGCTGTTAGTATATTAGGCATTGGTTTTATATTTAGCATCGATGATTGAATTATACCGATACGTAAAATTGTTGGGCGAAAAATAAATTTAAGCGTCAATTTAGCTCCGATGCCAAAAGCCTATAGTTGACCGCTACAGTGTTTTATCCCCAAAAAAATTTCGGTCCTTTGTGGAAATATCAGATTCCCCCTTCTCTCAAAAAATTTCCCTCTTATCTCTCTCGATACCCACAGAGATGATAGTGACTGAGCTCCCATCTTCTCACCTTCAAACTCCCTCTCTTATCTCTCGTGATACCCCCCATTCACCCTATACCCAGTCACCGACACTCTCTCATCACTCTCTCATCCAGTCATAGACAGTCACTCTGTTCGCCTCCTCTTCGTTTTCAGATCTGTGCTCTTCAGTCGTCCCCTTTACTCCTCTCGACGCTGCTTCTTTAGCTAGGGTTCGTAACTCCGATCCTTTATCGGTACGTGCTTGCTTTTGTGTTTTAATTGCTCTATCTGTTTTAGGGCTCTGCGATTGCTAATGTTCTCTGTGTTGTGAATTACTTTCTATTTTTGAAATTTTAGTAAAGTTAAAGTCATAGTTTGGCAGATCTATACACGGCATTTTTTGATTTGGGTAATTTGTTATACATAGAATTTTTAAGTTTAGGGTTTGATTATTCTTCATCTGAGTTCTATTATTTTTCATAGATGTTGCATGTTGCAATTTGAAGCTTATTTTTCAGTTTATTAAGGTTGTGGGTTTTTGACATTGTTTACTGAAAATGGGTGCCTTCTTTCAGAGACTGAGTAAGGGCACCACAATAACCTTCAACAACTTATTTGGTGGTCAGTTGAAGTCCAAATTTTGCGTTCCCTTTGGAGCTCATGCATCTGCCTTTGGTGGAGTCTCTTATCTCTATCTGTACTAAATCTTGATAACTACAGGTAAGACAAAACATCTTCCTTTTCAATTTATGTTTGTACTCTTTTGAGTGTATTTGTTTCTCACTATTTGAGTTCTGAGTTTCGTATGCTTCCATTTATGCTTTT